CACTGATATAACAATTTATTATCAAACCTGTCTAAGAAATTTCTTATACATCAGAATTAATTAGCCAATTCATTGACAGGAAAATCGATTTTTAATCGAATATTCAATGAGCCACTTTTTTTTATTTCTATCATTTTTTACGTTAGGCAAATTATTCGGAGATACTTAACGATCCCTTAAAACTTACTTTTTTTTTACTCCTAGTAATTTTACCCTGAGTCGCATGTTAAATTGGTAACAGGAGCGCTTGACCACCTGTTTTTTTTTACAATGGCCATAAAATGGATATAAAATCCATTAATAGCGGAAGAAATAGGTATACTCGTGGGATATTACAAATTCGTTACATCAAGGTGGAGGAAAATGTGAGGTTAGATGAGTTGCTTTTATGGGTACACGTGTCACAGGACTATACAGGTCTGGAGAATTTTCCGCAAGCTCACATTACGTGTTGGACAATTTGAAAGTATGTTACTCGCGAGATTTTAGTACTGTTATACACTATCACCATTTCCTCTTGTTTCATAATATATATATTTTTAAAGAGAAATTATTTCGCAATTGGATTGAGTTCAATTATAGACTATGAAGAAAGCTTTCCGAAATTTGACAATTTACTCAACAGTAAATATACTTATTCCGAAAAATTTTTTGCTCTCCTTGATGCTGGGGTGTGCCACTATTTCATTAATTCCTCACGAATATCACCGTCGCCGTCATAATCGAATTGCAACACTTGGGATCCTCTACTCACTAATAAATGCCAACGGGCATCACGGAAAATTATGAGGAACTTCTACAGGAGGGTGGAAGTTGCAGACTTAATCGAGATAAGACGAATTCGATTAATTCTTCCTTCGTTACTTCTCCTGATACAATATAAAGTGTGTCAAACTTCGAATGAATTTGAAGGAACTCGAAATTCTCATTGTGTCAATTCGTTGATAGAATGATTCTGTTGCAGCAATAAATGAGGCTTTCTCATAGTTGACGAACGACCAATGTGAATCCCTTTTAAAAAAAGCATGTAATATTTTTTGTCAGCTTTTTTCGGTCCAGCTAACCTTCATTTGACGTTTTTTATATATATGTATTTTTTCATTTGAATACATTTGAGGATAATTAATGTTTTCAGGGTATATGAGGCAGTTTGAAACATTGGGAACCCCTAGCACATATATTCGGCATAATGTCGAAGAATTTCAATAGTATGATGGGCGAGAATACCTGAGGTGTACCGAAAGCGTCAACAATTTCAAAGATGTATGAAGATGACGCATCGCTACAATCTCTGAGATGAACCTCAGAGGAAAATCGTAACATAAACAATGAGGATATACCAACAAAGTTGCGCGAAGGAAGAGTTTAGTTTAGCAAGATTATCTCCTCTTCCCGAACTTTCCACGATGAGACCAACATTATCTTTGGAATCTTCCATACCTTTAATCTCTAATCTTCTAGATCTGCTCGGTCATTGTTTCATGAATAAATTTTCGCAGGTGATCCTAATATAAAGAGGAGAAGGGAAATCGATCTCGGAATATTATAAATAATTCGTTTCTGGGATTTCGATTATCAATTATGGGAAAAAGATGAACAATATTTTTTCATCTTCATAGATTCAGTGTCTAAATAAATAAATGAACTAGTGGAATAAATATGGGTAAAACGTATTAAATTATGAAACTTGTTAATCATCATGGGAAAATATTGTTGAGTGAGGAAGTCTCTAAACGACATCTCCAGAATTTTAATCCATCAAATATTTCACTTTTCTTTGCGTTATTGGAGAATAGGATGAACCATAAAGAAAATCTGATCATGTCATGTAATAGTATTATGTACTACGCTTTTTCATCCTGTCCATTGGGCTTTGGCCTGTGGTAAGTTTCATTTAATAGCATCTATTGAACATGAAAATCAATTTTCCCATTATTCTTTCATGAATTGATTTTTTTCATTGAAATATTGTCTAATAAACACCCGGTTAAAAAAAATTGTAATTGGAATATTTTTTCCAAATTTTTTTTACCCAGGCATTTATATCGATTTTTTTAAAACGATAAGTTATTACATCGATGGCTGTCTTCCATGCGATCTCGATTTTTCCCATAAATGTATTCACGATTATGACTAATCTCGGAAAACATTCAGTCATGCGAAGAGAAAAGCGAAGATTCAAGCTCCCCGAAGAGCCCTGAGCTTCCTAAAGCTAGCGATATTTTCCAAGTGAGTACCACAATTGATTCCGGCTAGCTTGAAAATTGCACATACACATTTGGTGCTTCTTTTAATATACCCTACATTTCACCCTCATATCCTTGCCGAAGAGTTGGCGAACGCGCAGGGTAGAAACGAAAGGTTTGCACTGATAGTGTGAGGAGGAGCAAGAGGACATGAATGGGAAAGCAGAACGGCGATGGTGGTGCAGCCTCCTTCGGGCCGTTTTCCCGCAACCCGCCCGAATGCTCTCCAACATACTTTTCAGAATCTCCAAGGTAATCCCATTGAATTTCCGGATCTATATAATTTCCAGTCGATCGAACAGACGCGATGGGCGTTCCTATACGCCCAGTGTTCATGCTTTCCCTCGATCGTTTATTCTTAGTATTAAGGAGTTGGAATTATGGCTCTAGTGAATTGAATTTTAGTTACGCAGGTTTTATCGTTGTTTTCCTCAACATGTACCGTAAATTACTATTAATTTGAATATATATTGACTGAAGGGAAAAATCACGTCCATTTTGTCCGGCCTTCAAGTGCTTCTCCGGTGCTGAAGGAGAACGAGGAAATTATTGCGGGAATTTTTCGAAATGGAGAATTATCCGAATATTCAAGAAATTACAGAATTCCTTGATAAAAAATTGATAAAAATCTCATGTTTTTGTACGTGAAATTTCAAGTGCAATTTTTCAAGAGTATTGCTTAATCGATATTTTGCCACTGAATCGCGTGAATCGGATCGTGAAATTTCCGGCAAATTTTCCTCTGTTTACTGTGCATTAAAATCAATAAAGCAGCGATGAATATGGATGCGGTCGTGTAAAAGATGCTCCGCGAAGATTCTGTGTAATTCTATTGCTGAGAAAAATATCCAGCCCTCTCACCCCAAGCAGGCATCTCACCTTTATCCCTCAACTGAAAGCATTAAAATGAATAGGGCATGACAATTACAGGAAGCCCTCAATATTCAATGGCTTGGTCTTGCCTCTAACCTACAGGACTCAGGACTATTAGCTGAATACTGTGAATTGAGAGCTTCTTGATTCTTATTGAGAAATTGCACTTGACGACTTAAACTCAATTCTCCTGTTCTTCTGCCTAGAATTTCACTATTATCGGGGAACAATTGACATTACCTCTGGTGCAGTCTGAGTGGAAAATCAAGTCCCTCTGGCACAATAGAAAATACTTATCCACTATTTTAGGGAGTTCACCACTGACTAGGGGAAAATCCTGGGAATATTCAATGAGCCCGAATTTGTGGAAATGGGTGTAATGGCTCTCGATAACCATTGTAATGAGCCAATCATTTTCTCGAGTTCTATGGCTTTGCGACTAGATAATTTTTACTTCAAGTTGAAGAGTCTGGAGGAATAAGGACTCAACATTGAATACCATTTGGAAAAAAGAAGACCTATCGCAGAATAATTTTCAGGTTGAAAAGGGCAATTGGAAAGTTTATGAAAGAATTGATTGAAGAATCCGTGTGGCTGCTAACGAAAACCAGCTCATTACAAATTTCAATCAAGAGCGTACGTTCAATCGAGGCTTTTTTCTCAGTGGAGAAAAAAACGACATGCACGGCTATTTAACGGTTTGTTTTCTGCTTTCACGTTTCATCCACTTGTTGTTGAACAGTGGAACGACTGTGGTCCTGTATTTACAAGCACTTCCACATCTGTGAAATGAGAACGAGAAGAGGCCAAGGGGAAGCAAAACCCTATTGACTTACCCGTAATCAGTTTAGCAATTTCAGTTACGGCAACGCATTGCGGTATAGTCAGAGAAGTTAGCTATATGAGTACATATCATTAAATTTTGTAGAGCTGTGTAATTACTACCAGCTATGATCATGAACAAAGCATCTATGCCGGCGCTCGTTTATTTATTTACTATAGGAAATGGAACAACTCCCCGTAGAAATTCGTAATTTTTGTGCATGATTTTTCGTTTGGCGAAATGTTAGTGAGTAATTAGTAAATAATTAATCTTTTCAGTGAATGTGTACATAAGGGGCCTCACCTAATCACGCCTTCAGAAAAAAGTGAAAAAGTTCGGATTTTCAGGGGAATTTTAGATAGCGATAATTCATGTCTCACTAAAGATTCAGAAAAATTGGGGGTGAGTCCCCTAATGTGCATATTTACCCTCTTTTCTTCAGGGACGTGTAAAAAAACTCGAGTGTAGATTACTCCCTAGTAATTGCGCTGTTTTCTATGGTCGAAGTATTTTATGATTGAAGTTAAAAGGTAAACTGCCATTACCCACGGAAAATACAATACAATCAGTTTGTTTTATTGGAATTGAATGTTTTAACGATGCAAAAAAACAATTTGCAATTATTTCAACGAATCTCATCGGCTTCATTTGGCTAGAAAAATCTATTACCGTGATGGATGAATCATTTGAGCTCTGAGAAATACTTTACAAATATCGAGCAAATCTTTAGCGGAGTTGTAGATTGTGTCAAAGGAGTTGACAGGTGAGTTATTATGATGAATGTGAGGTTCCTCGAATGACATAGACTGCCATCCATGATATTTATCTCTAAATTGCAAATAATCGGTTGACGGTCTGGCCGTTAACTGCCAGGTTAGAGGATGAATGAGTGACAACCTGACATGATGAGTAGATTGCGCGTAAGTCAGTTATGGATCAGTGCACTTGTAATGTTGCATTCGAAATGCCTAGATCTGTTCGGCTAATTATGTTATACGTAATCTGCATGTACGACAGAAAAAAAATATATATAATATATAATTGATTTTAATACTCACCGACAACATTGAGATGAACAAAATGACTCATGTGCGGTGTAGTTGAGACTTGGCACTCGTATATACCGCTGTCCCGCAGCTGGGGAAACTTTATTTGTAGCGTCCAATCGTCGGAATGAACGTTGTGAATGGCACGAAATCGCTGGTCACTGGTGTACGTGTAACGTCCGATCGTCAGCAGATGAATGTCTCTGTGCCTCACCCATGACACTTGTAACGCCACCTGCGAACATGCACAGGTTACCAAAGGTTATATTCGCTTGACAATCGAAGATAAATTACTCCTACCTATACATTCGTCTGTCATTCTATATCCCGCGATAGCGGGACGAGGGTTACAAGGGAAAAATAAAAAAAAAATATGAAATCATCAAAATCCATAAATTCTTTGTTATCTTTTCATTCTCGCTGTTTGCTATGCAAATTCAACATTTTTTTCTGTTATTATTTTTTATAATCTTTCCATCGGTGATATCAAACGTGTGACGAAAATTGCGCTGTGATTTCAGGAGTGAGCAGCCCCTCGCCAGCAGTACAACTCTAATAAATTCTAATTCTCTGAATACTACTTATTTCTTCTCATTAAAAGAGAGGAAGCATATGAGAAAAACTAAACAAGCGTTATCACTTTGAGCAAGGGACTCGTTAAAGACAACATGTGAAAATGAGATATGTGTACAACACGCGCAATATATCTCATTTTATTCATCTCCCGTTTTGCAGCTTTCCTCACTTTATAAATCCCTCTCTCTCTCTCTTTTAACTTGTTCATATATATCCTCTTCTAGCTTCGTCACAAAGATACCCCGTGGGCGTACTTTCATCCCCTATTCCCTCACTCATAACGCAGAGAAGAGAGAGGGCTGTCTCTTGCTGAGAATTAATAGCGTCGCTCTGCATATCGTTCCGGAGTTAGCATGTAAAGTAATGGAGAAATGGTATTTCACCCCTGGCGTGATAATTCGACTTGTTCAGTTCTGTGAAGATATTTTTTTTTCACAATTTTTCAATTTTTCATCTAAATGTCAGATCGTTTATCCCCGCTGTATGACGCGAGATTCTGTATTTTAAAGTTGACGTTTAAATTTTTGCAGACTATACAGATTTAAAGTAACTCGATGTACCACAAAGGCCAGTGGGCTGAGGAAAAGGGGAGATTGAATTAGCCTTTAGAAGCGTCTGGTTCATATGCAAATGTTCTTGTAATTACGTGCGACTAATTATTTTGAAGGGTGTAATTGATTCATGAATGTATGCTGGGTCGTTACTGAGATTTCATGACACGTCAAATGATATAAAAATTGAATGCAGACGTGGGACTTTATATTGATAATTTCCTTTGCGACGTTGAGACAAGGTTTTCGGTTGTATAAGCTTACAGACGATTGAAACTAATTTTACGAGTCCAGAAAAAATGGATAATTAACAAGTCAACTCGTTTGAGGCTGATGGAGTTCATTACTCCCAGAAAAAAAAGTTCCTTATAAACTCAAATAAATTATCCAGTTAATTATTGTATAATTATATTTGCGCCATTTTACATAATTATTTATAAAAGAATAAGACGATTTAGGTCGTGGGGAAAATATAATTGTCATGAGGGGACACGTGAAAAGTTTTAACACGTGCAAGGGAATGAACTATCGGAGAAGTATTATGTGGACAGTAAAACATCAACAGACCTTCCCCTCCGTTACCTAATAGTTGGAAACCGAAATGATATACGGAAAATAAGTCCTCTACCGGGAAGTAAAATCAATAAAACCACCGAAGGATCGTAAAAAGAAAAGCCCCAGAAGAGCTGGAATGAAAGAAGCCAATGTGAAAAAGAAAAACAGCCACGATCCACCGAAAGGTAATGAGGAACCCCGAAGCACCTGTGATGGAAGCAACAAGCATAAAAGTCCAATATACCCAAGGCACTGAAGACAAATACACTTTAAATTTACTTATAAAAGAGTATTTACTCGAATTAAGGGGTTACTCATTTAAACCCTAGAATTTTTACCTTTTTTTTTATGATCGCTGTATACTGCATGAATCATGTTTATGAACAACATTATATTATAATTATTTCTTCAAATAATTATTTTATAAATAATTTGAAGGCGGTGAAGGGGAGAAGATTGTTTCACGGACCTGTCAAAAATATGGTGGAAGCAGTGAAGAATACATCAGCGCTTTTTACGAGCATTCTCAGATTGTCTATCTACGTAACGTAACTTCTGCTATATTTTATGGTTCTGGGGTGCCATATCTATATTATCCCGAGGAAATCGACACTATAGCATAGTTGAAGAAGTCGACGCCGTCGTGCACCTGCGTCGAAGATGCCCAACATCTTGACATTCTGGTGGTTCATAAAATCGTTGTACGTTTTATGATCATGGTGAAATGTATGGTGGATGGTAACAGACTTATGCCGATGTTACCTCCATGTCTCGTTATATTGAAGTTTGGGATTTTCCTTAGATACATCACAGAGTGATAAGCCATTAAAACCTCGAAATATGTTGGGATATACACGGGTTTAGTACAATCAATAAACCCCTTTAGAGAATGCATGAGTTCGCAGATAGCTGCCAAATCCACCGTTAAGCTTTTTTCGTAAGTAGTCTCTCTCATACGAAATGTTGAGAAAATATATCGGTAGTTTTACCGAGGAGTAAGTAGAAGTACAAAACTCTCAAATCCGATTACTTTTAATTGATCGTCTGAAAGGGGATATGATTGCGTCGATAGTTCGACCTATTTATCATGATAAATTGGATTGAAATGATAAAAAAAAAAATATGAGAGAGCTGAGGAGTGGTACGGACGTCGGTAACTCAGTGGCTAGGTGCGAGTCTAGTTGTAGTTTCGATTCCCCGTTGAATTGAATTTTTCAACAGGCACCAATATGATAGGATAGAGCCAATTAGCCGAAAGGGTCGGAATATAAAAAAAAACCTGAGAACTGACTAGAGTCCATTCATTCTAGCAATGACTAATTATAATACTGACTCGCCGCCAAGGTGATGATAATTAAATTTAATACGTGAAAAATGATCTGTAAGATGTGCATGGACAGTTAATTGAAGAATATATTCATGTACATGATGTCGATCATGTGCTTTATTTTTATCCGAGTTTAAAGTTGTTCTTTCTAGCGTAATTCATTCTCAAGTTTCGTATCCCACCGGAAGTTCATCGTTGTTCGATGGGAGTTTCTGGAACATCCGGCTATGATAAGCAGAGAAACATTCAGCTCAGAGTAGCTGATATTGTTGGTATACACAACATATATTGTACGAAAGGGAAGTAAAGAGACAGGGATATGGAGAGTGGAAGGAAAGGAAGGCGGATGACACGAGCTGTTGCAGTTTCGTATCGTCCAGCAAACCTCCCGTTCGGTGTCTCACTAACATACTGTGCACCTAAAACGCTTTGTATATCTCTACACTGTTGCATCGGGATAGTTTATTATTGTTCTTCATTATTCAGTGGTTTTCAAACTACTGGAAATGGTTGTTATCATAAAGTACCCTAAGGATATGTATTCACGTTGTTCTAATGTAATTGTACTCAATGAAAAAGTGAATTACAGTATTGAGAGTATTTCATCAATTTTTTCATTTTTCTCTCGCATCTAAAAGTTGGAAATGACTCAGGTTATAAACAGAATATATTACATCTAACAGTTTAATTATGTGAGTTAATGAGTTTGTGCTATTACCCGAAAACCCCTAAAGAGTAATTCCATTGTTCCAAATTTTCCAATTATTACATTCTCACTCTATTAATTATACATTTATTCGGAAATTTGGTGGACAGTATATCGTATGTTCCTCTTAATAGCAGAAATGATATGGAAGTGCCCCTGATGTTTTGTGAGCAATTGGAAATGAAATTTTTTTTGTTGTTATTTCGCGGTGAATTTAATTTAGCCAGCAATAATAAAAGAAATAACGATGGAAGGATACAAAAGACAATGGAGAAATGTAGGAAATAAAAGATGAAAAAAGAATGGCCGTGACGAGAACGAGAGTAAAGGGTGAGACAGGAGTTTTCCATGAGAGAGAAATGGAAATACCGTGGGAAAATTAGGGACATTGGGAAAAGGGATGGGTGAGAATAGAGAGAGGAATTGAGGTTCGAAAAATAGAAATGGCCGTTGAACAAGTTGTTTTATTCGCTCGGCATCTTTATTGATTGTCGAACCTCATGTCCATCCCTCCCTTTCAATTTCAATTCGTACATATTTGCATGTGCCCTAATATTTCCCACGTTCTTTTGTTGTACGTAACAAAGACTCCTTTCCCGTGCAGAACGAGTTTCCCTCTTTTTCCAAACCCAACGAATAAAATATTGAAAATTGGCCCTGAATACCTCACCGCTACGAAGAAAAGGAAAATAGTTCCATGAAGATTGCATAAGTGATTGAAAAAAAATCAGTTGGTGGATATTAAATTATTTCTCCACTCCACTTATCAATATCCACTAAATGATTATCTCTTGGAAACTGAATTCAAATCTCTGGTGGATATGGAAATGGAAATGAGAAAAATTCCATTAAATCACTTGAGTATAAGCGATGCAATATTGCAGAATGCAATCCCATGAATTTCTTCACTTTTTGTGTACACTTTTTTTTAACAGCCACGAATTTTCTCCGATATAGGTTAATGAACAGAGCGACAGAGCATTGCATGATAGCATTCTGCAGGTCAACGTGCAAATGGTCGATTTATGGTGTGCAATCGATTGCAATCTTTAGGTGTATTGCTGGATCGTTTCGTGTAGGTCGAAACCCTTTCGCACGATTGGTGACACTATACTAGCCCTTTTCCCATGATCTCATACTGAAGAGCCACTCTGCTAGTTACTGTCCCTGGAGTGCACACCATTACTGTAGTTTCGGTGACAGTAATGGAAGTTCGATATCGCCAGGAGTTTAGGGTATAGTTACCAATCAGTTAGTCGGTATTGGAAACTTGACTTTCAATCAGGATTATCACATTTTAGGACCGATCATGAACGGCGTTAGAAATGTTATAGTAATATTTCTGTATGTTCTCTTCAAAGTGGTGGAATTTTTTGTGTCACTTTTTGTTATTATTTTTCAAGTGCGCTGGGTCAAGGACGATGGAGATAAATTGCAGGACATGCGTCAAATGCATCTCCCTTAAAATTTACTTTTTTTTATTTTGCCCATTTGACTTATCTCGAGGGCGAGACTCCTCG